CCTTTGGAGGCACGTGTATGCCTTTGTTTCTTAGACTTTGTTTGACCGCATCAGAAGATGCCCATTGGCCGCGGTTAACAAACTGGGTGAAGGGTGGCTTTGGTTAGGCCACCGTTTCTAGGCCCCTCTCTGTGTGGAGCAAGCAGTGCTCTCCTTCAAAAAGGCTGCTTGGTCATTCAAGGTGCTGCCAAAAGAGACTGTCATCTCCAGGGTCAGTCTCAGGTGACCAATGTCCTGAACTGCCTGCATGCAGGGTTGGGTCTGTGGCTTCCAGTGCACCTTTCACCTGCCATTCCAACCTTCACCTTTTGCTACAGGGCTTTAAAAATGTGGATATCACCCTCGAGCCTGCGCAGTGGATTTTTCAGGTGAGACACAGTAAGCACAGAACAGGACCCACCCTTGAATCCTGAAGTTCATCTGCCAGGGCCTAGTGAGCTTGGATGGTGACAGTGAGGTCCTTAGGATGTAGGTTTAATTAGAGTATCCTTCTCTTGGATGATGCCCTTACAGGGCTAAGAGAGCTCCATCTGCCTGGGTTTGGAATTAGAGTTGTCATCCTAGGATGACTGCCTGAAGGTGTGTATGCATGTAGCCGGACAGGAAAATACTCTCTTATCAGAGTTCATGCAGTGAATCACTCAGTAAATAATACTGTCACTGCTTAGAGTCCCAGGAAAGCAGAACCAGCAGAACCAGTTCTACAACATCTAAACGAACAACCAAAACAAACACACACAAACCCCAAATCTCCCTTTTTGGTGTCATGGCTTTAACCTACTACTTTCTTCCCCTTTTTACAGCCCAGTAAGGTTCAGTTAAAGGAACACTGACATGACAGCAATAGCACCAGATAAGTCTCTTCTAGAATGCTCATTTCTATTTTGTCTCATTCACCTTTCCAGTTTACCTTGCAAGAGGAAACACACCCCCCCCTTGGTGGTGGTACTCAGTCAAACTACTTGTCTTCATACCCTCCCACAGTGCTAGTATGTTACCACAACTACAAGCATGAGTGTGTTCCAAGAATATATTGTAAACCATTTCCACTTCCTTGCTTAGAAACAAAATACACAAAATAGTCTTCTGTAACAACAGTGTAAAGGTATCAAACCATGGTAACGCGTGGGAAAAGCACTGACAGAATAGCTTCTTATGTAACTAATCAGAAAAGATGCTTCAGGGTTTTTTTAAGAAATTAAAGCAAACGCGAGTCAGTTTAAAGTCTCAAAAGTATACTAAGTGAAGCTCAAGATTTATATCGATGATGGGGGAGTTGTTCAAACTAAACTCTGAAAACTTCAAGATCCCTGAAGTATGACCATATAGTTACAAAGTTTGAGAAGTCCAAGCACCTTTCAGGAACTTACATGGATAACACCGCATGGAACGTTCAATTACTGCACTCACTGCACAAATGTAAGTGCTTTATTTCAGTCTTCCTCTTAATAATTCTTTGGCTTAACGAGGTACTTTCATGTCACAAATACTATTCAAGTTTCACACCACACATCTGCGACAGCTTACTCAAGTGCCTTGCTCCAATCACTCCCTTAGCACCACTGTGTCTGGTTTGGGCAGACCAGGGTGAAAGGTATCTCCAACACTATAACGAAGCCTCGGCTTCCACTGCCCCGTGACTTCGTCTGCAATCCCGAAGTTTTCCAGGACCCCGCACAGACCTCACAGGGGCAGGCCGTGGCTTCACAGGCCGCAGAGGGCCCTGCTCATAGTTTCGGCACCAAACCCTTTCCACCGCTCCGCCCTCAGGCGCTCCGCCGCCTCCGGAGGGGTCCCTTCTCCCGCTGGGACCCCTCCACATCCCCTGCGCCGCCCCCGCCTACCTTGAGCCGGGTGCTCGTGTCGTACTTGTCGTTCCTAAAGGCGTGGGCGTTCTGGTGGCGCTGGGGCCGCGTGCGGGACACGTTCCCCCGCTCCGAGCTCATTCCCGGCCGATCCCCTGCCCCGGAACCGCCCCGCGGCCCCGGCGCTCGCACACGCCCCGCCCGCGGCGCTCCGCGGCCTCCCCGCCGCCGCTGCCACCGCCCCCTCCCCCCGAGCTCAGGCGGAGCCTCCTCGGCCGGGGCAGCGCTGCGGCTGCGCCCCGTTGGTGCTGCGGCCGCCGAAGCCCCGCCCCGGCCGCCCCCGGCCGCCCCGGCAGCCGCCGCGCCGGTGCAGTCTGCGGGCGAGGCCAGGCCGGCGTCGCTCCTGAGGCCGCGCGGGGCGGGCTCAGGGCTGGCAGGGCCGCGCGTTCTCTGCCGTGGAGCTGCGGGCGCGGACCGGGGCGCTGAGGGCCGCCCCCGCCGCGCCGTTACTCAGCACAGCCGGCACTCCCCACCCCGCCGGCCCGGCAGCCGGGACAGCGCGGGGCCGCCGGGCGGAGCGCCAGGTGCAGGTACGGACTCGCCTCCCGTGGCGGCGGTGCGGGGGTGGGCGGTGTGGTGATGACCCGCTGCCCGGTGCGTGGGCGAGCCGTCCCCCCGCTCGCACCCGCGGTCCTTCCGCGCCGCCCGGCGCAGGCGTGAGGCGGGCCCGGGGCGGGCGGGAAGGTCTGCGGCGCCCACCGCATTCGCTTGGCCAGGGCGGCGGCGGTGGGTCTGAACCGCGCGGGGAGCAGCCGGCCCCGACCGCCCTCCGGCCGCTTCCCCCGGGTGTCGCCGCCGCAGCGTCCGGGGCTGTTTCGACGCTCCAGTCTCCGTGGTCTTGCCCTGGACGCCTTTGTTGGAAACCAGCTCGGTGGCTTGTGACACGCTTGTTAAAGCCTGGCTCTTCTCAGGTCTAAACAATTGTCCTCGTGTTACTGCTGTGGACTTCCGAAGTCCTTTTCAGATACAGACACCTGAGGAATTCATTTAGTTCTCTCCAGCCTGATGTAATTTATTCCCTCAGTTTCTGCTGTTGAGGGTGGGAGTGACGCTGGCGTTAAAATTGCTCTCAGGTATTGTTAATTTGAAAGTTTAAAGTGCTTGGTCAGGGATTAGGTTGGAAACTTGGTGACTGCGGAAGTGAGAACGGAGCCCCCGGAGCGCAGAGCGGTGTCAGAGGCGGAGCTGCGGGTTCGTGACCGCCCCGCGAGGGCGAACGCCGAGGTGGAGGGGCCGAAACACGGCGGGCAGGGGGCTCTAGCAGAGCAGATCCGTGGGGCAGAGCCTTACTTTGGAGCGTGCAAGGCATTATGCAATTGACTTAATCCCGGAGTTGTCTGTCTGGGACCTTTAGAGAGTTAGTTTGTTTTCTAGGTGATAAGGAATGTCTGGGTTTTTCAGTTAGTGTTTCCTGTATTCCTTTTCTTTTTCCAACTGTGCCATTGGGTTTGAGATATACAATGTAACCAGCAGCAGGCGAATAATATCCCCATATACGCTAAACTAGCTACAATTTATGAGAGTAGTAAAGCTGTTTATTTCTTTAGAATCAAATTAAGCAAAATGAAGTTTGGGTTCTGTGAGGCTTCTGTGTTTTTATGTAGGTTGCTTTGCTGTTTGAAAACTATCTTAAACAGTTACTTCACAGTATTTCTTGGTATGGCGTTTTCATTATTGAATACACTTCCTTTGTGTTGTTTTCCAGAGCTATTGTGTATTCTTTCTTAATATTCTATAAACCTAATCCTTTTATATAATACTTAATTAGATAACTGTTGGAGTAGTTAAAGGATGGCCATCCTTTAGAAGGTTGACTATCCTTCTGTTCCATTTTTTATTTAAAGCAGATGTTGAAGTAAATATTTAAAGTGTACTTCAGTAGTGACTTGACCTCAAGATTTCATTCATTGTGTTTAATGAAAGTGTGAGGGAAAATACTTTAGAATTCCTTGTTCCAGTAATATATGATGAAAAATAATAATTAAAACCCCCCCAAACAAACAAAAACCACAACAAAAAACACATACAAACAACAGCCAAGCAAAAAACCCCCAAAATTTTAATACTTTGCCTGGTACAGTTAGTGCAACACTAAAATTACAAACCAGCAGCTATATTTACAAGTTTGACTTTGTTCTTGTGAATAGTTCCTATGAAAAATGTAATTTAATTTAACTATACAATTAGAATAATTTGTATTTAATGTAAATATAAGATTTCTAGATAAGTGTTTACAAGGGTTGGGCTTTTAAGGCTAATATGTGGTGAAGTACTCAAAGATGTGAATAATAGGTTCCACCTTCTTGTTACAATTTGCAGAGAGAGGACAGGAGTAATTGCTTATATGAAAGAACTACATTTGTGTTATCATAGGAATCACCAGATAAGTATTTGAGGTGTTCTTTAAGATTAGGTAGATCTTTTCCCCTTCCTTCTGTCAGCCTTTATGAGAAGGTTAATTGCCAAAGAACAAATGGAAATTACTGCCTGTGGGCAGTTTTACATTTGTAATTTTATGTGTTACTTCATTATTCGTAAGAGGGTGAAAGAGATAAAATTGATAAAATGACCTGGACTTCCTTTTAAAGGCTATTGCAGAAGGGGTAGGTGATGCCACTTGGGTCTGTTTTATTTCTTAGCCTCTATCACTGCAATAAAAGAAGTGTATCAGCTTTCTACAGTTTCTTCCACAGAATTTTCCTACTTAATTAATTTGAAGAATGCAGTACAATTTTAAAAGGGATGTATGTTTCTCTTATAATGTTCTTTTTGTTGTTAATATATTTTACCAGCAGAAGAAACTGTGTTTGCAGCACAGCACTGGCATCCTTATTATTGAAATGTCAAATAGAAGGTGAGATAGTTATGCTGTTAGGATGTGTTGACCTCAGAGTCTGATGATGCTACTCTGATGAGCACAGAGATTTACATGATACATGCTCAGAAAGTGTTAGACTTAGGTGTGCACAACATGTCTTAGTCAAATGAGTCCCATTAAAGTTACTCATCCGTACTAGTGGAACTGTATGCTTAAGGTAATTTATAGTCAGAGTTGGTTTTGCCCTGGTTTCAGTAAGAGCTCAGATTAGGCATAGATCAAGCCCACTTGTTATTGATTTTTAATGCAACATCACATGTAGTGTCTTGTTTACTTTTCATGAATTATATTTTAGACTGGTTTTGTTGACCTCCAAAGGTTTTACCAAGGCTGGGTGGTGTTAAATGAAAGGGTTTTTGTGACTTTTCTTATCGTTTTTACCATAATAATTTCTGGATGGAGGAATCATTAGGAAATCATGTTTTCTAACGTTAATATAAAATAACAAATCAAATTATAAAATAATAATATCAAAATAACACTTGGTGAAGTAATGTTAAGTTTAATCCCCCGTTGAAGTGTCTGAACAGAATAACTTTTGAAGAAAGATAATCCATGTTTGGTTGACATTAAATTATGACATCTGCTGGATAACTACTAGGCTGAAATGCTGATTCAGTTGAACTTTCAGACAGCAATAGCAGAATTACTCTATACGCCCTGGAGACTCTCTTACATCCTGGTTCCATTCCAGATCCGGTGGTTAAGAACACTCTTATGTGAATACAATGAATGACAAACCAGTTCCAGTATAATAGAAACATTGTTTGCATTTAGTTGAAGGTATCCTCCTGAGGGAGTTCAGCAGGTGTTTTGTGTCAGATTTGTTCAGTTAGTGATGCTAGGGATCTGCTGTTTTTCTTGGGTCTTCTAAGTGAAGAAAGCAGCACGTGTGTTCTAAAGAAAAGAATTATTGTTAACCATGATTTAGATGGAGAATTACTCCAGAATCAGAATCTTTAGTTACACTAGACAGATCTGCCATTGGATTAAAATAACAATATATAAAGTCTGCATTAGTCTAGCACAGGGGAGAAATAATGCTTCATCCATGGTCTTCAGCATGTCATTTTCCATATTGTGTGATAGCCCGCTTTTAGCACATCTAAGCTATCTTGGGGCACAGTGCCACTTCAGCTGGTTAACTGTGGTTACTGCAGTGCTGCCCTGGGCATGAATGCCATCAGCCAGCTTCCAGTCTTCTGAGATTACTTTGACAAATAGCAAATATTTTCTGAGTTAGATCATATTTATAGTGTTGCTAGGCTGTTTATAGTTACAAATAATGTAAACTGTTCTAATTCTTTCTGACAAGTGGATTGGGAAGAAGTTATCTGCAGCTATCATAGTATGCAGTATACTGTATACAGTGCAGTCTGCTGTTCCTGGGCGCAGAAACAAGCTATTTATACCTTACTTTTGTAAGTACATGTTCTCTTACATTTTTCAGCAAAAAAACCCAATCAACCTCTTACAATAAAGTAGAATATCTGACTTGCCTTCAGCTTTTCCGAGAAGGTGGGAAAACTCACTTGGAACAGATCCATTTAATAGTTTCTCTTAGAAATAGAAGTATGTTTGGGTATTGGCTCATAAGTAGTTCTTGGATGAAAAACCTATTGAGGCATCCTAGGAGTTTCTCTGGACTGTGAACATGAACTTACTAAGTAGAGGTGAAAAAGTTACTCCTTTGGTGCTTGCAAATGTAAGAGAAGTAAAGAAGGAACAAAAAGAAGTATAGGGTTTTTCCTATGCATAAGACAGCCTAAGCCTTTTCCCAATCCCTAGCCGTCCTCCATAGACTCCTTCCATTTGTCCTGACTCGTGCATAAAAATGAAATTTGATGTTCATATGATCTTACCTGACAGATGAGAAACAGATGAAACATTGATGGAACAGATGAATTATTCCAAATATGAGTGACTAATTGGGTTGATTACATAGATACCCAAGTTTATTGTTGCTTTAGCTGGCAGGAGTGTGGTCATTAAGAAACCATCTACCTTTTTATGGAAGCTGATCAGTGCACCCTTCCTGCCATCTCCTCTAAACTGTTAGTGTTGATTTCCCATATCTAAGCATCTGTGTTTTCCCTCTGTTTTGGAGAAAACTGGAGACTTGGGATGAAAGCTCTTGGCTGCAGCAGCCTCTTTTTTTGTACCCTACAAAGAGAAGTAGTATTCCCAGAACACTCATGCTGTTTGTCAGACTGTCTTGCCTGTGTTTGCTACTTTGA